ACCTTAGATAAGATCAGAATATTTATTGTCCAGGACCAATGACTTCCTGTATTGTCCCCTGGCAGCGAAGACAACAGGAAGGGTGAGGACCAGGCTATCTGTTTCCCCTGGTTTTCTGTCGTAACGATCTCAGTTAATTGGCTGCTGGCTCCAGCTTGATAGAGCCGAGACATGATGTAGTATTAATCTTGTTAACGTGTATTTTCTACAAAATATTATCTTTCTTTGTCCTCCCAAATGATCAGTGTTGTAAACTGAGAGATGTCTTAAATGTATGCTTGCCATACATAAATATGACTCTATGTATTCTCTATTAAAAATACATTTCAGTATGTTTTTATTTTGTTATATGTTTTTATTCCCTTACTTACTTACTAAGTGTAAGAAAAACAGCGTTAACTCAGTAGACTTTAATACTCACCTAAAACGTACACAATAAAAATGTTTAAATGCATTGTGGCCACTCACAGGTGTTGTGAGCCAGGGATGAGGACATTAGCAAACAAGAGGACAGCATCATCTCCATGGTAACGCCACAATGTTGTGCAGGAGCCAGAGGTAGACGAATGCATAGTAATGTCTCTTAAACGGAGAGGAGCCTTTTATCCAGAGTGTGAAGATAGTACATATGTCTCCATTCTGCTGTTCCAGCGGGAGCTTACGCTACATAGTTTCAGCAATTACCGCGTGTTTTCTCTATATAATAACCCAGTACTCAGCTCAGATATCCAACATCTGCTTTGTAAAATGGTGCCTAATGACAGAGTGAGCCGTACCACCCACTGCCTTTCTCGATCATTGTCTTCTGCCATCATCGGGTGTAATCAGAACATTACATTCTTTTGACTAGAAGCGGAAACACAGTCAAAATCATTGGAGTGTGCCCATAAGTCTCAGTGCAATTACATATCTGTCAATCTACATAAAGTAGAGGAAATGCGTGACATAAACAGCTGGAGACCCCAGGGAGCTGCTGCAGAGTGTGAAAAGCAGTCGAGGTTTGATGAAAGAAAGGGGAAAAAGAGGAGGAAGAAACCAAGTCATCAATTAGTAACCAGCAAATGCGGTTTTCCAATTATTTTTGGTGTGGGAAACTCCATTTTATGATTGTTTTTATTTTCACACACAGGCTCAAATCTACCAACCACTTTTCCTGCTGAATGCCTGCTCAACTTTTATTTCCCAATGCTTTAAATCCCCAGAGCTTCCAGCCCAGCACATTACCAGCCTGACTAAGCACCCTAAAGCGCGTCCTGGCACCCCTCAGCCTCTGCAGATCCTGCAGCCCCCCCCTGCAAACCGGCTTCTCCTCTCCTGCAGGATTTCAGCCATGGTCCAATCATGCTCAGGACTGCAGTACCCAGGACAAGCCTTCCTGTCCAGATTACTGATAATTAGAGGGGAAGATTAAAGCCCGGGTTTCCAGATGGCTGAGGTGACACACAGTTGACAGACGCATCGACAACTCACCGCTGAAAGCAGGACGCATTGAATCAACAAAGACTTAGTGACTGCTCACACCTCCGTCACATTGTTTCCATCAAACTGTCATAAGTAACTCTATCAGTAAGACACAGTCGCTTTGGATAAAAGCGTCAGCTAAATGACATGTAATGTAATGTAATTAAGGAAGCAGAAGGCTTTGTTGATTTGTTGTCAATGGTTAGATACTAACGTCCATTCCAAAATGATATTTAAAATCTCTTCAGCACAGTGTTTCTCCTCGGTTTACAGCTTTGGAGAAACATGGCAGCAATAGAGATAATGTTTTTCTGCCAGAGTGAGTTATTGACGGCGTGCAATTAAAACTCATCATATTGGAGTAATGTGTCTCATTTGCAAAGAAAGAAACGTTATCATATCATAAAGCGATGGGGAGACAATGGACCCTGGGCACATATACAAAAGTAGCAATCCAAAATGTATGTAATCATACAAACATTCAGGCCACCAACTCGGGCGAATCTACATTGACAAAACGCAGGATAACCATGAAGTTTAAAAATGGGTTAAAACAATGCAAATATATCCCAAATGTCTCTCCCATCAAACACAGCTTGAATAGGGCCTCTATGATTGCAAGCAAAAGATCGCTTTGACTTTTACTGATGTAAAAGGTCAAAGTGGCTTAAACCTTCTTTCTAAAAGCCACGAGGGCCCACTCAGTACATCATGGTGTTCATTAAATAAATGATGGTCCTCCACCAAATCATTTCGTGCTCCCTCATTCCCAACCTGCTCCTACTTTGTGTTTCCCCCGAACCCCTCATCCCTCCATCACTTATTCTGTCTCGGTCTTGGAGCTTAAAGGGAAGATAAAAGATTGTGAAATCAAAGGGAATAATAAAGAGGTAACATGGAGAGAGAGAGAGAGAGAGAGAGAGAGAGAGAGATTAAGTTGCAGAAGTAGAAACAGTACTGTGCATTACTAGTAACCTGATCTGCTTCTTTCAGCTGCTAGATCGTGTCCCTTGTAAACTCCCCCGCTCCGTCGCCCCCTCGGGTCTGGCCACGCCCTGACCTTGCACGATGGAGTTGCGTGGGACAATATGTTTAGCGGGCTGAGGTGGAGGAGGAGGGCCAGCGCTGCATGTGTACCCATGCTCACATGTGTACATGTAAATGAACAAAAAACATGCAAAGCGCTTTACTTGTTTTCACACACAACATGCACACACACACACACACACACAGACACACACACACACTGATGGAGCTGAGACTTCAGGCAGTAACCTGCTCTCTCCACCCACCCATTACACACTCTTATCGGCCAACGCATCTCCCAGGTAATTAGCAGCAATGATGCTGTTCTACACAAGCATGGACTTATCCTGAATATTGGTGACGAGAGGGCGTGAGGGATGTTGTGTAATTCTTTTTAACTCCACACAAAGACGAGTTAAAAGAAGGCAGCCAATTATGGTCTGAAAGCCTCACAGAATCATCAGTCGGGCGAAAGAAAGGCTGGTGAACGGCAACTTGTCTGTGTTTAGAAAGGCCTGCTGCCTGCTCAGCATATTTCTCCGAGTTCATTGGACCCACTCGGCTCCCATACCAACCCAAACACTCACAACACTAACCCGGGCCAAAAATCCACGTAAGCACAAACACCCGCACAAGAAGAAAACAGGAGCCAAAATATACTGACACACAGATCCAAAAGGTCGACAAGGAATCGGTGCAGAGAAAACATACACAAGCGCAGAGCCACAGATGGTGGCCTCTGAATGAACAAAAACAGCAACATCTGATAGTAAAACCAGTCAAAGATGTTGAGAAAATGACTCTTTTTGGCGCTCTCTTTCGTCCTTCTTATTAAGATTTATTCTTAAAGAGGGATGCTAGAAACCGAGCATTATTATACTTGAGGCACAACTCGTGAATCACAGGAGGGAGATTTTTTTTTTTTCACCAATGAGACATACTCAGTATTAATCCCAGACACACAGAGTAATCCTATGGATCTGTCTGGTTTAACTGGATCTCTCGGTCAGTGTTGACATAGCACACAGGCCACAGACCAACACATTGCAGCACGGCCCAGCGAGGGCTTTGTGCGTCCGGATGGTCCAGCGCCTCTCTGAATACCGGCCATGTCATGTTGCTCAGGAATACAGACGAGATGGGAACACCAAATCCTTCCCAGTTAAATACCCCCCCCCCCCCCCCTTCCCCTACTACAATCAAGTAAAGCAATCTGCTGTTTGGAATATTTTTTTTCCCAAAAGATAGAGAAGCAAAATGTCATAGTAAAATATCTTTATTGTAAGATTCTGGGTAGAACAGGGACACCACGGGAGACACAAATAGAACCGGTTTCTTGTTTGGCGCGCAAGGCAGCCGCAGGTCTCACAACAGAGCTTAAAAAAAAAACAGTAGCCTTTTTTTATATTACAGCCTGGCCCGTGGGCCTCCGTGCTGCTTGTCACACATCTGCTATGAATGTGGAGCCATGAAGGTAAAGAGTGGGAGCGGCTGCCGAAACTTCACCCACGAGGCGTGTTTCATGCCTGTGCAAAGGACTGACCTTTGCGCTCCCGAGTTGTATCGGTGTGCTGGAGGACACTGACCGAGGAACTCTGTGTGGGACTGTGTTTGTTTGGACTGGAGAGACACTGCAGGCGCGGTATTGTCTCCGGGGATTTGCCGTTCCCGGGAACGCAACAAATGTTTTTCCAATAAGGAAGCCGCATAAAGTTCATCAGCTGTGCTTTTATCCAGGCCAGACTGAGATCAGGTTTAGAGGCTCTCATGCTAAGCTAATTAACATGTGATAATCCCCTTGGTAAGAACACCTTTCAGAAAACTGCCTCGCCTACATTAACATAAGCTCGGTTGTTGTTTCAAGGGTAAATGATGTTCCCTTTTGTGTCCGTCGATAAAAGTGCAGTATTTTTTTCTGTGACAACAGATGTAAACTGAGCGAGTGTCACAAAGCGTACGCAACTCCTGCATTTCACGGTCATGGATTTCTAGGCATCATCTGCTTTAAGATGATTTATTTTTTTACCAGAAATACTAATTAAGTCAATTATTGGCAACAACAGGAGTGTTTTGTGAGCTGCTTTAAAATAGGCTGTTATCTCACATATGCATGTCCTCATTTCCATCCTGGCTCTGTGTTAGAAAAATGTCTTTCTGGTCAACTGCTAGAAAGAAGAAAAAAAAAAAGGCTGAGAAATAAAAAGGGGGATTAAGGTGTGGAGAAACCAGATGGGAGGGAGAGAAAGAGAGAGAGAGAGAGAGAGAGAGAGAGAGAGACTATGCCTGAGGGTAGAGTGTTAATATAAGTAGAGTTTATGTGCAGGGACATTTCCTTGAATGGAAAATAGTGAGATTTCAATTTGATTTGGTTTACTTGTGCTTGAGTTCAATTATTCCTGCAAATTAAAAAAACAAACTGCAGCATGATGAAGATGTGCCACTTTCTTCCTGGTTTGTACTGAGCGTCATTCAATGCAGAGAAAACGTCATGAATGGAAAATACAACCCAAAAATAGAAAGAAAAACATCTTTTATTTGACAAATCAATTTTGCTTTTGGCTGAACACTTTTGATTTCAGTGGTCTACGGCTGCAGCGACACACTAACATATTGACTCAGAATGCAACAGCACTTCAGCACACTGAAACACAACATTGCACTTTCTAGAATACATTTCATAATACATGTATTGTCAGTGTCAGACGCCCTGCCAGGACAAGGGCCTGACAGCTGAGGAGAAACCCTGCACTGTTCTGCCCCGATGGCCTTTTCCTCAAATTCAAACCGGTCGTCAAAAACCTGTGACAGCATCTAAGTTTGATGCATCTTTCCCGTTGCCACGTCCTCAGCTGCATCTTAAATGCCTTGTGTTTGTGTTGTAGTCTGAGGTAGGCTATATGACGTGCAGGCCTGTCCTAAGGCTGTATCTGGAGATTACAGTCCGTCATGACTCGCTTCTTTATAACTGAAGTCAAACCCGCTTGCTAGAAACAGCCTTCACAGTGCCCTTGCTACAAAGGCGAGAAAAACCTTGTGCTCGGCTGGCTACAGCGTAATCCTACCCTTTCTTGTGGATATTCACTTACAGTAAGTGAGAGCTACCATCAAATATGCAACAGCTTAAACTAATACCAAACTCAGTATCGAGAATAACATTACTGTTTACAGAGCACTCAAAACGTGATCCGCTAAAGGTGACTACCATATTTTTTTTGGAAGAGGAAACAACACGTAGTCATGGTTTAAGCCGGTCTCAAGAAGCGCTTCACTATGCAAACGCTTTAAATATTTAATTGAGCAAAGAAATGTCAAAGCAACACAATGAGCAAAAGAAATAGAGCAGTGGGCTGTGAGTCATGTAACAACATCTGCTCGGCCCTTCCAGCAAGAGTTGTTAAAATACTGAAAGCTCTATTGCACAATCAATAAACACACCTCATCCAGCAAGATTTTTTCTTTTTCTATTTTTTTTTTTCTGTCAGTTATGTGGTGACATTTTAGTTTCCGTCGTTGTTCGTCAGAGCCTGCTGGCTGTTCATTTTACCAACAATCAGTGTATTTTTGAAAAAGAAACGTCACTCCTAAAATCTACTCAACCACTTAAAAATGAAAAAACTCAATGCATTTTCCTCCATGTCCGTGTGGCTGTACATTCGTTAACCTCATTCACTCATAACAACAGCTGAACAGATTACTCCTGTATGGCACGGTCACCACCGCATGGTGCTGGACACATCTAGGAAAACTGAAGAAGAATTGATTCTCTGTGGCACACTTCTTTCTTGTGCTTGGACTGCTCGCATCCCTCAAGGCTGATAAGACGTCCAATTATTTGGTAAGTTAGTTCAGAGGAGCAGAGGAGAGTCCGATCTGCTTGGGCGAGCAGGCAAAGTATAGCACTTGACATCGTGGCCACTTTTTAGCCCTTTACCTTATGCCCTTGTGACTGCTTTAATTGTCATGTAGACACATCGGGGTGCTTATTTAACAAAGTTAGCTCGTGGATACAGTTTTGTGCTTCACCAAGAAAGATGCAGGATACAGAGTACAAAACGGGGGGGGGGACGTACATAGACGGTATCAGTCTCTGCAGGAATGGCTGTGGGGTTGGCGTGGTGGAGGACCGGGGACTACAACTAGATGCAGCGGTAGTTTAAGGGAGGGCAAAAGCTGGACCTGATGATGAGGGGAATGGATCTGGGGTGCACAGGGGGCGGGAGCTGCAGAGTCAGATCAGCGGTTGGGTACCGCTCATTGGATAAAAGCTGAAGAGGAGGCGGAGAAAGATGGAGGGGCACAACATCTACGCTATACATCGACTGGTGCAGGAGCCATCCGATTGAGGAGGACGGGGTGGCTGGGGGAGCACTTGGAGACAGGGTGGGGGGGGACCAGGGGAACAAAGCCGATAGTCTCACTCACGGTAGAACACATATTCAGTGTAGCTGGTCCAGATCTTGTCGTCCGTCTGCTCATGGGCAAAGGCGCAGGTCCCTGTGGAATTACAGGCCACCATGTGGAAGCCTGCGTCAGACAGCTTGTCAAAAGCCTGCTCCAGAAAGGTGAACTTGAGATAGTAGCGGGACGTGTAGCGCTCGGGAGGGCGGTCCGGGTCACGACTCTCGTTGAGGGTATCCCCAAACACCTCTTTGGCCAGAGAGGTCTTCCCACACACCATGATCCGCGCCACCCGGCGGAATTTGGCATCGGTCTGGCTGTCACGACCCAGGGTGTACGAGCCTCGGTAACCAATGGTGATGAACCCGGACCGCTTGCCGTCCATGGCGCCGGGCATCATGCTGGTGCAGGCGGCGGCTGAAGCGCCCAGGGAGCCCAGGTTACGGGCCGTGTCAATCCCAGGTGAGGAGTCGTCTGGGTCGCTCTGACATCCCTCGTCGCCAAGCGAGTTCTGCTTGCTGATTTTGGGCGCCAGTAGCTTGACGAGCTCTGGGAGGTTGAAGAACTCAGCCTCCCTTTGCAGTCGCCCGCGCTCAGGAAAGTGGTCTGGTAGAACCAGCTGCTGGTCCCGCATGTAGTCCAGGATGTAGCGGAACAGGAAACCGTCGCGGTCCACGAAGAAGCGTCCCTTTGTGTCCCTGGCCAGTCCTTTGGCTGACTTTCTACTAAACATCTCCCACAGCAGGGAGTGTGGCACACTCGTGAGGGTAGAAAAGCGGGTTATGTACACCTGGCCACCAACATTGAGCTCTACGATCTCTGGGAAGGGAACCTCCTCCCCAGATATGCCACTATCGGGTAAAGCCATAGCTTATTCCTGCCTCCCAGGTCCACTCCCGTGCAGCTTTTAACAACTCACTCAGTTGTAGTGAAAGTTTAAATGGGATTTCTTCTCAGGGTGGTCTGGTCAGGCCTGTTGCTGGTCACAGATGTCCGGTCCTCGGTGATGGAGCGGCTGATCTGTGGTGTGCGCGCAACAACAACAACATCAAAACAAAAAAAACTGACCGCTGCGCTCACCTCGATGCAGGCAGCAACAAAGAAGCAGCCTCACAGAAACAGCCTCTACGCTAACTGCGGATCTTTCCAACAACCACTAAAACATAGCGACGGGCATTTTTACGCGGCGTTGAATGGAGACGTTACCTTCACGCGCAAATAGAAGGGATTTCCTCAGATTAAGATTGCGCACTTTGGCACTTGCTCTCTGAGTAGGATATGCACGATTGGCCGAATTGACCATAGCGACATATGTCGTGCCCTAGTTCAGTCCGCTCGTCCTGGCGCAAACGGGATCAGGTGGCCCAACTTCAATTAGGCAATCCATAGTTGGAGATTTCGGTGGGCGTCCCGGCGACGAAAAGCCACGAGATGAAGAGCACGGTGCCAAAGTAGTGAGTGAAGAGGACGCAGAATAAGACCACCTCCGAGATTTCCATCACTCGTGGGTCCAATTCGCGTGAGGCGGTCAGCTGTTCAGTCCCCGCGTTCCGCTCGCGTGTCAGACTCTGCTGCAACGTAACGGAGGATGCACGGTAATACTCCCCGACTGGCCACGCCCACGCCCGGTGACGCGCCTCCGGCGTGATCCCCGTCCTGCGTGACCAGTGGGAGTTGGTCAGTCGACGTCCTTTACCGCATATGCGTAAAGATGTCGAAGCATCTTACTGAAACTTTCGTTGAAATGGATGTATTAAAATAAACACATGAGCCAACAGGATCCATTAAAGGGTGTCTCGTTTTTTTGGACTTTGTACTGTACTTTATGTATTCAAACATTCCTTTAGTAAGCCTGCCACAGACGGATTACAACAACCGAACCAGGTGCCAACATTCATTTAACATTCATTTTCTTCTTGAAATAAACACAGTGGACTGAAAATCAAACTGTCCCCAATTGTAAATATGCGGGATCTCATTATAACCAAGCCGCTGATTTAGAACTGGGGTTGCATTTCATTTGAATGCATTTTTTTTTGGAGACACTCTGCAGTCAGTCGTCGTCTCACTGAAGGATGGCTTAACAGTGACATCTAGTGAATACCCAACAGGGGTTTTCTGTTTTTCTCTTCGAGAACATTGACTACAGATTTTTATCAGATACTAGCAGGCTAGTTGTGTTCTACATTAGCTTTTATTATTTTAGTAAAGCCCCCCCCCCCCCAACACTCAAAATGTCCTATTCATGTAGATGTTTGACCTTTACTGTGCGGAATTATGCATGCACAGAGTGCTCAAAGGTCTGTTTTCACACTTGAAGGTTTTTCTGTGTTCACCTTTAAAAGCGAGTTAAAACACTTATGCTCTGATGTTTTTCTTCCCCTTTCACTCCCTCTAGGTGTCCATACGGAGCCCACACAGTCCTCTCTCTCTCTGACTAATAGGCCACTTTCCCCCCCATCTCTAAGCATTCTGGGGCTGATTTCCCTGAAGACCTGGTAGTCTCTAGCTGGCTTGCAGCACTTGTCGTCCACATCCTGGCTCCGGCCCCTCTGGTTACGTGAGCCGGAGCCAGGATGTGGATGTAATGTGGTGAGATTAGTCAATGACAAAAGTCTCAAGCTCCGTTTGCAGTTCCCTTTGCTGGGATGTGCAGGAAAAATATGCTGTGGAACGGCAGGATCCTGCCTATGGTCATAAACAAAATAGCAGAAAAAATACGATCTGATGCTAAACCGTATCTAAATATTAAAGATTATCATCAACTGTCACTTTCGTCCCTCTAACCACATTGATCATCAGGAAAATGGACAAAATAACTACATCAAATTAATTGGTTTGCCCTTCTGCAGCAGCTGGATTATCTTTGAACGTTTTTTTTCTCCAATTTTCATCACAGTGATGGCTTTCGAAGGTTGTTAGCTGTGTGTGCGTGCGCGTGTGTATGTGTGCATGCATGCGTTTGATGCTCCACCGATTCCGAATAGACAGAGAAGAAGCTTGGGTGACAGATAGTGGTTCAGCATGTACCCGGACAGGAAATGGGAAAATGTGCTGACTGCCACTGCCGCATGCATTCAGCGAAAAAGCAACCAGACTCCTGCAGAACTCTTGCATAAGTGCAAATGAAGTTATTATTTTTTTCGGGTACGTTTGCATATTGATCCCTGTGGTTCCTGCAGACGGCTGCACCGGGTGATTTATGAGATGCTCTGTGGGATCAACAAACAAAAAAAAAAAAAAAAAAAAAGAGAACAGCGGTTTGCATCAATCAGGTGTCTGCGGGGCCCGTGTGAACCCATCTGCACTGCCTCATTTCCCTCAGAGCGAAGCACCTGGGTGGCACGGAGGTGAAACAAGACACATCGTGCTGCATCACATCCAGGCCCGGCTGCGAGAGTCTCTCTGCGTGGCGGGGGGTGGGGAGTCGTTTTATTTAATCACAAGGCTGAGTGAGAGTCCACAGCAGTCACTCCGACAGATGAACAACGCAAATTAAATTAAGATTCCAGACATTCGACCCGGAAGGCCGCCTCCACCTTCCTCGCTCACGTCAGCGCAGATGCACCCAAACGAAGCAGTCAATCAGTTTGTTTCCTCCACCTTCCGAGGCCACTTCCTAACCAATCAACTGCAGACAACTTTGACAAATGTGCTTGCACATTCATCACCATCACCCTTCCTGATCTTGGTCTTTTCGCCGGCGAGAGTCCTGGAGTTGGTTGTCTGAAATTTAAGTGAACTCATTGATGAAACGGATCACAACACGCAACCAAACATGTGTATATGAATTGACAACATTGTGATCCCAAACAGGTTGTCGTCAGCGGTCAACATATTGTCTGCTTGAATAAATGTGTGGTTATCATGCCTCTAATTAAATGGAGAAAAAAACGATGTCCTGTGTCCCACATGCGATGTAGATTAATAAGCAGAGGTGTGGCGGATCGACCCGTGTGCCTGCAGGCTCCGGATCAGGATCCATCTCTGAAACGCCGTCTGTCTGCAGAGCCAGCGAGGCGCTCGTTTCTGTGAGGCTCTTGGGAGACTTCAGCTTGTGCAGCACGTCTTGCATCTACTCGTTACGTTGAAGATGATCTTAATGCTGCACAACATCGTTAACGAGTTAAAATCAGAGTGTGAAAATGCTTTAGTCTTTTCAAGAATGGAGCTTTAAGATTTCTGTATCAATCTCACTGTCGCTGCAAATAAGTGGGAGACTAAACTGCTCGCCGTGATGGTATTAAGATTTGTGTGAAAGATTTGAGCTTTCTCGCATACACTAAATCCTACAGATGCTGGAACTACAACAGCTACTAAGACTTTCTGTCGAAATTTAAGACTAAACTTGCACAATGACAACTAATGTGTCGGCTGCGCTCAACGGTGACGAGCTGAGTGCTACAGCTAAAACACTCAATACAGGTTTAACAAAATCAACGGGTTGTGGATAAAACAGCTTTCAAATCCCCAAACAGGACGATGAGGGTGACGGGCGCTTTGTTTTCATCCGTCTGGACAAGACGTGATAAGGAGCATAGGAGCCGCTCCAACGTGTCTGACGTCCTGCATGATGTCCGCCGTGAATCAGGCCTGGAAATCTAAACCAAATCTGGAACTATTTAATATCAATTCTGTCCCGTCCTCTCCGGGGACTTAAGAGACGATCTGTGACACAAAGGTGAGCCCATACAGATACTAACCGGGTTACATTGCGTGGGTGCGTATAGCTGTGTTCAAAACGGGAATAACCGGCTGACTGGTGTCACTTCAACAGGATTTCTGTTTGCAGGACAAAATGGACAAAAAATAAAAAAAACGTAAAAAGATAATTGTTTATTTTGGTTCTTCCCCACTAGTAGTTTATCCACAATCAGACTGAAAGAAGACTGAAAATATAGACTAAGGTACACTAAATGCGGGGACTTTTTAATATATACCACAATGAATTTCATGGAGACAGCATATGTGCATACTTTAAAGACTAATGCCGATATGATGACCGATGACATCGAGGGAGTAATCCCATGTCTGGGATGGGGTTTGATTATTCAGGACTGCAGGACGAGGGTCTGGGAAACTGGTTAGTGAGCACAAACAAAACACCACTTTTCCATAGAACAAAACAATAAATGGTTCACCCACCACTTGCAATGACAATTCAGTTGTGATGCAGTCACGGATCGTGCTCACTTGAGATAACAATCTTTACCGTTACCATCTCACAAAACTGTCGTTGTTTATTATCTATAGGGTGTACATATACATAGCTATATACCTATAGCTATGTATATGTACACACACGCAATTAGTATGCAAAACATTTCTTTTTAGTAAAGTGCTTTCTACTGACTCAACACAATCTCTGAGAGAAACGTTTTGAGGCAGCATTTTTGAGAGTTAAAAATCCCTTATTTTCTGTTTCGCTGTGTTCATCAGTGCTTACTTAAGAGATAAAGACCAAAGGATGTAAGGCATGATTGCAATCAAATGGTTAACTGAGAGAGCAACACCTGTGCCACCGGTAACACCACACGTTACGCTTACGTACAGTGCCAGTGAGATGTGACCAATTCAGGAGTCGTCGAAGCGCAAAGCCAACCATCGGTCGCGCTCACACACCAGAACACCGGTGAGCCGTCGCACCAGAGATCTGTGAAGCGGGTTGCGCACACTAAGGGGGTATTTTATTCTACTAAATATACCAACCAGACCATTTCTCCTCCTCGTTAGGCACCGTCGATTAGACACTGCTGATGGGACCGGAAAAGGTTTCTGATTGAACTATTAAGACGCATTTAACAGAACACAGTCTATATTATACATGATTAATTTAATGGAAGTCCAAGTGTTCAAACTTGGCAGGAAAATCCAAAATGATGGAAGTTGAAGTGTTTTGATTTAATGAAATATCTTTTTACGGTGCGTAATGCGCCAACATCACTCAAACCCACTTTTGACGTCATGAATGGCGCCGCCCCTTAAAGACCAGATGGCATTGGAAACGAATATCAGGATAAAAGCTGGTTAATAGGGAAAATAGATACTACGTGGTACTATGGAGGTAAACTTCTCCGGTGCTCGTTCCACATCATCTGAACAACTGGCATGACGTTCACAAAGCACCACTTTCTGTTTTACAGGACACAGTCGTCATCTTGCAGCAATTCAGCTGAGTGGGTATAAAAATATAGACATTTGAGACCCTGAATATATGTTCATATGTGATTTTCTGCGACAAAACAAAACACAATTTACAGCTGTCCCACTCAGTGTGCACACTGTCATTTTTTTTTAGTCCCCATCTAAAATGTGTTCTTGCATTAACCCGGGTGGGAGGAGGTCTACACCCACAACGACACAGAACACACAACGGCAAGAACAACGTCGCCGTCTTCATTAACAGCGCCGGCGTCACGTCTTTGTTAATACACTAAAATTACCTCTGGGTGTGTGAAGCGGATTTACTCGGTGAAAGAGGAGTGTGTCTGTGTGCACGATGGCGTTACATCAACATGTCTTTGTGATGCCTGGCTATGTGCTGGCTCTTCTCCGAGGGCCTCCTAAAGCCCTTGGTGCAGTAGTCGCAGCGGTGGGGGTAGT